TGGGGCTGGGCGACGTCCTGCTCAGTAGCTCTCCTCCTCCTCGCGGTAGTAGTGGTACCCAGGGGGGTCCCCGCTCTGGTCGCAGGCAGCGTTGGCCCCCTCGCCCTGGCTCCAAGATGATCCCAGATCCCGAGGACACTCAAGGCACCTTGAGCCCCCCCAGACGTGTTTGGAGCTGTGATGACGGGTGGCTGAGGGTTGGATAAAACCAGGGGCCCCTCACCCAGCACCCCAACCCTGGGGAGCACATGCGGGGCCAGCCCACCTGCAGCCCGATCACGCACTGCCCAGCCTTCATCTTGGCCTCGTCGAAATTCCTCTGCTGCTTCTCTGAGTACTTCACGCCGATGTCCACGCCGCTCTGCATCCCCTTCGTCTTGGCCTGCCGGGGAGGGATCTGGAGGCTGATGGTGGAGTGGTCCATGGGTGGCAGGATCTGGTTCTTGGGGTCGTAGAGGTGCCTCCTGGTGCCGTAGGCTGTCATGCCGGACTGGCTGGCACACTTGCACCTGCGTCAGGTTCCCGCTCTCAAAGAGGTCATTGGCTTCAAAGAGGTCCACGGGGTTCATGCCGTAGCTGGCCATGGCCTTGATGAAGTTGGAGAGGTTCTCAAGCTGGGGGCAGGAGAGAGGGGTAAGACCCTGGTGGGGGATGTCGGAGGGGCCGGGGCAAAGCCCAGGCTCCGCAGAGGGGCTGGGTTGCAGGCAGGGCTCTGCGGCAGCTGGGTTGCAGGCAGGGCTGCCTGCACCTACCTGGTGCCAGTTCTGAGCTGAGCGGTTGATTTTCCTCACCGAGTTGGGCTGCAGCTTGTTCATGAGCCTGGAGGGAGGCAGGGGGGGAGTGGGGGCTGCGGCGGGGCAGAGACCCTGGGTGGCAGCGGGGCATAGGCCCCTTTCGGGAAGGTCCAGCCCAGGTGTCCCCCACAAACACAAGGTGATTCCTCCCCCCCCCCAAGTCCCTGCTGGGCTCCAGGGCTCCCCGCAGACACAGGCACTTTGGGGGTGACTCCAGCCAAGCAGTGCCACAGAGAAAACCTCTGGCAGGTCCCACCCGG